TTTCAAGCTTAAGCTCACCCCACGCTGCTTTAGGCAATAACTGAAACTCCAAAAAAATCTGATCCGGGTTAACAGTGAGCCCCAAGTTAGACAAAATATTAGCGGTCCTATTTGCTTCTCTATAACAATGCTAAATTGATGAACAAGAAGCAATCAAAATTTTTAATGTAGCTATTTCCCTTTGAACCCGCCATGGACATGCAAATTTTCCTTGAAATATGTTCACTGGCACTTATGAATCTACTTCTATATAAAAGTTAGAGAACCCTCTAGCAATGCAAAGATGGATGCCAAAAAAAAGCACCTTAGCTTCTGACTGTAAACCCATGCATAGCCTAAAGTTACAGGAAAAAGTCAAAATAAATCTTCCTTATTGATTTTGTAGCACTCCTGCTCTAGCAGAGGCCCTAGGATTACCCTTAGAGCACCTTTTCGTATTCAATTTAAAGGAAGGTATAGGTGGAATCCAACGAACCATCTTAATTTTAATTGGCTTTTGAAAACGCAGAATATAAGAAGAAAACTCCTGCCAAGAATGAGAAGACTGCAGTAATGAACCAAACTTACAACTAAGTATATCCTTCACATCATCCTAGGTTTGGCTTGCAACAACCTCCCAAGGTAACCGTTTACCCTCATAACAAAAGGAGTTCCTAGCTTTCCATAAATTCCAGCATATACAAACTAGAGTAACTTTCAAAGAACATAATGCAAAATCAGATTTTGCAGGAGACAGCCACCAACTCATCAATGTAACTCTCAACGCACTCTCATTTGAAAAAATACCCAAAGGAGATCCAAAGAAACTCCAAATTTGAGCTACAAGTTCACCAGTAGAGAATAAATGATCTAATGACTCCACTGCTAGAAAATTACAGCACCCACACCACGAAGGACCATGAACTCCAAAACAACACAATACATCTGCAGCCAGTAATGAACTCCATGACTTTATGAGAACCAACCACCTCGACCTTCTTATATGGAGATCTGGCCAGCAGCCAGTTATCATACCAAAAATCTACACTTCTATTTCTAAGCTGCCAAGCAATGTATTCCTTTGCTACATCTAGAGCATGTAATATGCGCTTCCAAGTCAATGAAGAAACTAAAGAGGCTATAACAATGCAAGGATGTAATCCCTTACAATACTTACCATGAAGGAAATCAACCCAGAGAGACTTCTTACACCGAAAATTTCACCATAGTTTGATGGAAAAAGCTGCAAACACATCTTGCAATGAACGGATCCCAATCCCACTTTCCTCTACTGGCACACACAGGTCCTTCCATTTGATTCAATGATATTTAAAATCTTTATCCGAAGAGCCCTATAAGAAGCGAGCAAAGATTTTCTCAACGAACTCCAATACTTCTTTAGGCAAAGTTGCAGCAGCTAAAATATTATTTGGTATTGATGCTAAAATATTATTTGGTATTTAGAAAGCTTGATATTAGAGTTGCTTCTGCCAACTATTTTGACCACATTGATTGTAATTAATTTCATAATGGAGTTTGATTGAGACCGAAGCCAGGGAGGTCAAGAAATTCAAACACGAAAGAAATATATTTGTGAACATACATATATTGTTTTGAGTTACCATGAAGAGAGAATTTATTAATAGTGAAAAGTTTAAAATTTTTGACACACTGGGTACGTATGAAGAAAGATCAGAATGGGAGGAAATAATGTTAGGGTGGTTATCTAAATTTAACCTTAGGTGAAAACCATCACTTATTAAACCCAAAATCTATATGGCGATTATTAAGAAATAAATTACTAATAAAATTGCGGAAGCGTACCTGGATTCATATCGACAAACTGATATATGAATCTCCAAGGGTGTTGGGGTGGCCTTCCAGGTCAACACGTATTAGCCAATTCTTGAGAGAGTCCTTTAGTATCTTTCTGGTATCTTTCCTGACAATGGAATATCAGGGAAAAACTATTTTGTGATACTAGAAAATACGACAAATAGAATAATACGTGTGACTTGGGGACCATAACCCTATTTATAGGTAACATTCCTGTTATCTTTTGGAACTCTATTTCATCCTATCATAGAAATAGAAGCCCTTAAGTTTCTACACATTAAAGGCCCACATCCTATTAGATACATTAAGTTCAAACCATATTTGATCACTTTAATTGGATTTAACCTTATTTGACAGTTTGCAACCCATAATTATTCACATATAAGTCCAACGTTGGATTAAGGATCCAACAATCTTCCACTTGGACTCTATGTGTAACTTTATAATTATATTTTACAATTAACTGTATGAGTTTAACTTCACTGTCATTGTTAAAATATATCTGTAGCCAATTCGATCCATCAATCATACCAATATAGGATCAAAGCGCCTTTGTTACAATTTCGTAATTCAACCCATCAATGGTCACATATATCGATATAATTGAATGACATGAATCATGATGTGGACGTATAGTATGAAAATTTCATGTAATGTGATCAAAACATACTTATTTCCAACTGGTCCACCTTAAATTTTTATGAGATCAAACCACACCAAAATCAAAATATAAATAAATCCAAACTTTATTTATGCATAAAATATCCTTAAATCATTCATAATCGAAAAGTATCATAAGAACATTTAAAATATCAAACTCCCACTAAAACTGTACATTATTTATCAACATGACACCCATACGAGCAGGATGCTCACGAAACATTTTGGGTGGCAATCCCTTAGTAAGCGGATCTGCAACCATGGAGTTTGTCCCGATATACTCTATCGATAACTGTCCACTCTGTACTCTTTCTTTAACAGTCAGGAACTTGATATCTATATGTTTAGATTTCGTCCAACTCATGTTATTATTGGAATATAGAACTGCTGACTTATTGTCACAAAATAATTTGAATGATCTTTCAATACTATCCACTACACGTAATCCTGTGACAAAATTTCGCAACAAAATTCCTTGATTGGATGCCTCATAACAAACTATAAACTCTGCAGCCATAGTAGAAGATGCTATGAGGGGCTGTTTAGCTCTCTTCCAGGATATGGCACATCCAGCCAACAAGTAGATATAGCCTGACGTTGACTTCATAGTATTTTGACATCTAATATAATCAAAATCAGTATACCCAATGATCTCTAGCTCATCTGACTTCCGATACGTGAGCATGTAATATGTAATCTTTTATTTTCTGTAAATACCGTAAGACCCGTTTGGTTGCTTTCCAATGATTTAATTCAGGATTATTTAAATATCTACCCAACATTCCAGTAATGTACGCAATATCCGGACGCATACATACTTGAGCATATATTAGACTCCCTACTGCTGATGAATAAGGAATTTTTTGCATCTTTTTTTTTCTCAAAAGCATTCTTAGGATACTGTTCAAGACTAAATTTGTTTCCTTTAGGCACGGGGATGTCACCTGATTTACAATTTTGCATGTCATACTTTTTAAGAACTTTTTCGATATAGCCATTTTGTGATAGTTCTAAAATACCCCGAAATCAATGTCGATGTATTTGTATTTTTTTTTAAGAAACGTTATTTTATTTATTCAAAAGTAAAAATTACAAAAATGCGCCCTGCGCAGTTTAAGGCCTAATATATGGCATCTCTAGCTGATCTATCCTAAGGAGAGTTTTAATCTTGCGTGGAAGTGACTCTTCTCCAGTGTATACCACAACGTGGCCCAGCTGCAATGCGACTAAAGCATCCGCTACCATATTGGATTGTCGAAAGACGTGGCTAAGATCGGCCCCCAGCTCTGATAACAATCCACGTATCCTCCTTAACACGTTACACAGCGGCCAACGAGCCAAAGCTCCTGTCGTGATCATCCGGACGAGCGCCTCCGAATCGCTCTCTGCCTTAACACCTGTTACTTGCCACTCCTGACAATACACCAGCCCAGTCAATAGCGCCAGTGCCTCGGCTTGAACAACACTAACCTCCCCAAACTCCTTGTAAAACGCAAAAATCACCTTACCCTCGCTTGATCTGACCACACCACCACCGAACGCCGCCCCAGTTGCATTAACCCTAGCATCAGTGTTCAGTTTATGACACGGCGTAGCGGGCTTGACCCACGCCACCAGTGATGGTCGGCGCACCGTCCCTTCTCCGCGTAGCCCCCTAGCCCAGATGCAATCCCCGTCTCCCCGAAATGACCTTACTAGTTTCCGCCCTCTCCCCAAGAGGGCAATGAAGTCCCCAACCTGCCAAATAATGACCTCTGCGCTCATCCTGGCATCGTCGAAACGTGCCTGATTCCTCGCTCGCCAAATAAACCACAGGACCACAATAGGAACAATTACCCGTATATGATTCTCCCTCACCCACCGGTGAGACAGGATCCACGTCATTATCATAGAAGATATCCCATGGGCCTCTCTCCGCACAATCCCGAACTGTTTGCCAAAATGATCCCAAACGGCAGAGGCCACTGGACCATTTACAAATAGATGCGCAGCCGTTTCGCGCGCCCCTTCGCAGCAAGAGCATCTCGACCCCAAGCTGACCCCCTTCCCCTGTAACTGTATATCTAAACGAATCCACTTCCGCAACAGACGCCAGACAAGAAAGGACATCTTCTTGGGTATTACTGCACTCCAAATACACTGGCTCACTAGAGAGGAGTTCCTTTTATGGCAGAGATCATCCACTGCTGTTGCCACCGTAAATTCCCCAGAAGCCGACCCCTCCCAGACCATTTGATCCTGCAAATCAGGATAAATTTGCTGTTGCACAACCATTGCCACGTATGGCTCGGGAAGCCATTGTCGGAGACGCGTGACGTCCCAGCCCTCCTGTAAGTACAGCTCGCCCACAAGTACGCACGGCGGGTTCGCGACATCCAGAAGGTTTGCCAACGGCAAATCGGTGCACCATCGATCCTGCAAAAAATCCACTAAACCCTCGCCCAAACACCATCGAATCCTACTCTCACCAAACTCTCGAATTTCCAGCAAACGCCTCCATGACGCAGGTGGGCGCTCGACCTTAGCTAGTGCCGGATGGCCACCCTTAATATATTTGTAATGCATGAATTCCGCCCATGCCGAGTCTTTCTTCCGAAGCTTCCACCATAACTTGCAAGCAAATGCCTTAGCACAACATCGAATGACCGAAAGCCCAAACCTCCTTCTCCCACTGGAAAGCAGACTTTCTCCCAGGCTGCCCAGTGCACTCGCTTTTCAGTCGTGGAGTGATCCCATAGAAATGCGTTGCAGATTCTTCCCAGCGCAGCAACGACCGCTTTAGGGGGCCGCAGCACTTGGAGCAAATGTAGCGGAATTGAATTAAGCACATGGCGGATAAGGGTTATTTTTCCCCCCATGGAGAGGAGCTTAGAGCTCCAGTGGTAGAGTCTCTGTCTAAGTTTTGCTAGTAGCCCATCAAAGATTACACAACTGATTCTGCCCTTCACCAATGGTACCCCTAGGTATCCGATAGGCAAACTAAGCTCACGAAAGCCAAGAATGGACTGTACCAGCGCAAACTGCTCTGTTGATGTCCCAGACACGGGAGTGAATGAACTCTTACCAATATTTACTTTCTGACCTGACCAAGTTTGGTATTGTTCCAAGAAAGACTTAATCGCGGTCAGAGCGTTAGAAGAGCACCGTGTGAAGATTAGGATATCATCTGCAAAGGCCAAATAAGGTACTCGCGATCCAGCCGATATAAAGAACCTACGCTCCTTAGCTAGGAAAAGGTTGTGAATCCCCCGACCTAAAAACTCAGCCACAAATAAGAAAAGGGCAGGCGATAGAGGATCCCCCTGCCGTACCCCCCGAGACGATTTGAAATACCCTGTCGGCTCGCCGTTGACCAATACCAAAAACCATGAATTTGAGAAAGTCCTGAAGCACAAGTCAACCACCTGTTCATTCAATCCAAATTGTCGAAGCATGAAGAGCAAGAAAGGCCACTCCACCCGGTCGTATGCCTTTTCCATGTCCAATTTGAGCAGCAGGTTTGGCTCCTTCAGCCGCCTATCCAAGTCTAGTGCCAGCTCTTGAGCTAACAAAATGTTGTCAGCAATACCCCGTCCTGGAACGCAACCCGTCTGCCACGGCGAAATGATCGACGGGAGCACTTTATTAAGTCTGACCACCAAGAGCTTTGATATAATTTTGGAGCTCACATTGCATAGACTAATCGGCCTGAAATCGTGCCAGTGACAGGCCCCCTCCACTTTGGGAATTAGTACCAAAAGTGAGCTCGACCAACCCCTTGGTTGGCCGACCCCCGAAAGAAATCCTGGACCGCAGCCACCAAGTCATCCTGAATTATCTGCCAACACGTTTGGTAGAAACCCACTCCGAAACCGTCCGGGCCTGGAGCGCTGTTCACCTCCATTGAGAAAACCATATCCCGGACTTCCTTCGCTGACGGTATCTCCATTAACTTATCGTTACACGCACCATCCACCTTAAGCACCTCAAAAGGAAGAGCAGGGAACCTTCCCCTAAAGGCCGACTCCGAGGTAAATAAGCTGGCGAAGAAATCCGTCGCAGATTCCTTAATCTGTTGCCCAGTGGCACACCAACGACCCTCCGCATCCTTTATCCTAGAAATAAAATTGGAGCTCCTTCGCTGACGGACCACTGAGTGGAAAAAAGCCGTGTTAGCATCTCCCTCGCAAAGCCACTTAACGGCTGATTTTTGTCTCCAAAACTCACACTCGATGGCCAACTCCCTAGTATATGCCGCTTTAGCCTCACTGAGAAGGGTCCTACTGGTGGCATCCCGGCTCCTATCATAGTCCTCTTCGCACTTTTTGTAATTGCCCTCTGCCTCCTTAACTCGGGAGGAAATGTCCCTAAATGTCTCTCGATTCCATTGTCGCAACCTTTTCTTCACCTGGATCAGTTTTCTAAAAAACCGTGCCATACCTACCCTTGGTACAACCGTCTCCCAAGCCACATTAACCACTGCTAGAAAGTGCGGGTGACGGGCCCAAACGTTGAGGAATTTGAAGGACGAATAGCGAGTGCCCGAATCCGGGGCACACTTGACCAGTAACGGGGTGTGGTCAGAGCACCCCCTGGGCAGGTGCGAGAGCCTAGACACCGGGTAAACCGACAACCATCTACCGTTGATCAATGCACGATCCAGTCTTTGCCACAGTGTTCCATTTGTCCAGGAGAAAGGCAGGCCGTCAAAATCCATTGCAGACAATCCACAACGAAACATTGAATTGTTAAATTCCTCCATATTACGTACGTTGGGTGGGGATTCCCCAGTTCTCTCGTCAGCTGAGGCGACCACGTTGAAATCCCCTAGCACCATCCACGGGTGGCTCATTGGTTCCCCTATCCCTTCCAGAGCCTCCCAGAGCGGGCGCCTCGCCACTCTGGTGCACTTGGCATAGACAAATGACAACACAAAAGATGCATCACCAAGATCTTTCATCTCAAAATTTTTAGTTAGAAATTTCTTGGTTTCATGCAATAGATCAATATTGTTGCTGGCAAGCAAAATATCATCAACGTATAATACCAGAAAAATATACTTGCTCCCATAGAACTTATGGTATATGCAATCATCTACTAAATTCATCTCAAAATCAAATGAGATGATCACTTGATGAAATTTGAAATACCATTGTCGAGACGCTTGTTTCAAGCCATAGATGGATTTTTTAAGTTTCCAAACCATATTTTTTGGATCTCTTGATATAAAGTTTTCTGGTTGCACCGTATAAATTGTCTCATCAATATTACCATTGAGAAACGCTGTCTTTACATCCATCTGATATAACTCAAGTCGAAATGTGACACTAATGCCATGATAATTCTAAAAGAGTCATTTGAAGAGACCGGAGAGAAGGTTCTTTATAGTCAATACATTCTTTTTGTGTAAATCCCTTAACGACAAAACGCGCTTTGTATCTTTCTACATTGCCTTTCGAATCCCTCTTGATTTTAAATATTCATTTACAACCAATAGATTTCGCTCCTTCTGGCAATTGGACAAGATCTCAAACATCATTGTCTTTCATGGATTTAATCTCCTCATTCATGGCATCGATCCACTTTTGAGAATTTGAATTTTCCATGGCGTGACGGAAGTTGATTGGATCATCTTCCATCAATCTAGAGTCATCCTCATGTTCTTGGAGAAAAATAATACTCCCTCCGTCCCATTGTTAATGTCATATTTCCACTTTTTGCTTGTCCCAAAATTTGAGTTATTTTGAAAAAGTCAAATCACTTTTACAATTATTTTCCAGTTATACCCTTCTATTGACAAGTCAAGATTGCACTAACCAATTCTGATGGATCCAACCACAACACATCATCGGAAGTTATACCTGATTGTCTTTGCCTTTTAGTCAAAGTGACTTAATGACAAGTGGTCCCACCAATTTGTTGTTTCACTCCACAAACAGCAAAGGGTACGCTTGGAAGAGTCAGATAAGCCTGTCCTGTAATGCTACTGTACATAAAAAGTGCGTTTTCCAAAAAGTGACCCAAATTTTGGGACGGAGGGAGTATAATCATCTGGCACTGCACTTCTCATTTCTCTAGTGGATCTTCTTAATGGCACTGGTTCTTGAAGAGGAAAACTTTGTTCTTCTATAACAGTTTGTTCTTCGACATTGTCTTGATTTATCATGTCATGATCAAATTCGAGAATAGGATTCTGAACAAGATCAATGACACCTGTGGGAATATTAATATACTCCTTTTTAAAGACAATGTCCCTTATTATATTTTTTCCTCAAACTCGACATCCTCAAAGAACCGGGCATTTCTTGTATCAAAAATTGATTTAGTTGTGGGATCATAAAAACTTGTAACCTTTGAATCTTTCAGAGTATCCAATAAAATAACAACTAATAGTTCTTGAGTCCAGTTTCTTTTCATTTGGCCTATAAGGCCTCGCCTCAATTGGACATCTTCAAATATGTAAATGCTTTAAACTGGACTTTTTCCCTGTTCAAAGCTCATAAGGGGTTTTGATAGTTGTTTTAGTTAGAACTCTGTTAAGAATATATGTTGCAATCTTAAGTGCTTCTCCCCAGAGTGACTCTGGTAAGGTAGAATGATATATCATACTCCTTACCATGTCTTTAAACGTTCTATTTTGTCTTTCAGCTACACCATTCATAGTGGGTGAACCCGGCATAGTGTACTGTGGGACAATACCGCATTCTTCTAGGTATTTAGTAAATGGTCCTAGACGTTATTCATCTGAACCGTCATATCTACCATAGTACTCACCACCACGGTCAGATCTAACGCTTTTAATTCTTTTGTTGAGTTGATTCTCAACTTCAGTCTCAAAATTTTTGAACACGTCTAGTGACTGTAACTTTTCTAAAATGGGATATATGTAACCATATCTTGAAAAATCGTTTATGAACGTTACAAAATATTATTGACCATTTCAAGCAGATGTTGAAAATGGTCCACAAATATCTGTATGTATAAGTTCTAAGACGTCTAAGGACCGATTGGCTTCAAATCTCCTTTTATTGGTTTGTTTCCCCTTTATATAATTAATACAATCATCAAAATCTGTAAAATTTAAGGGGTCGAAAATTTCATTTGACACAAGTCTTTCCATTCTTCGTTTGAAGATATATCCCAATCTCTTGTGCCATAATGCAGTTGAATTCTCATTGGTTAATTTTCTCTTTACTCCTCTAGTACTCAAATGCAGAGATTCATTAAATGAGACAATTGTATCAATTAAATATAGATTATCGTAGTGTATTAATGAACCAGAACCAACCAATTTTGAATCATGAAACAATTCAAAATTTTCATTTTCAAATGAACAAAAATAACCAAAATTGTCCAAAACAGAAATAGAAATTAAATTCCGTAAAAAAATGGTACAACAAATGTTTCATTAATATCCAAATAAAATTCGATTTTTAACAATAATCTAAAAACTCCAATTGCTTCAACTTGAACTGTTTTGTCATCACCCACGTAGATATATCTTTCATTATCATTAGCCTTACGGCAATTCAGGCAACCCTGCATAGACACAATGATGTGAGTTGTTGCACCAGATTCTAACCACCATGTGTATCTGGGTACCGAAGTTAAATTAATCTCAAAACAAACCAAATTAAGAAGCATACCTTTTTTAGCACGTCAAGCGTGATAATTGGTGCATGCTTCTTTTTATGCCTTTCAGCTCCACAAAAAAAAATAACTATTTTTTCCCTGATCATTTGATTTCTTTTGTTGTTTCTTTTGTGGCGCTGTACCTCCAAGCTCCTTTTTCCTTCTTTCTCTTAAATCCCTTACTTTTATTATAAGTGGTTGATATCAGATGGGCACTTTTTGTCTGATCTTGGTTCAACCATTCCTCTTCCTCTACACAGTGTGAGATGAATTTATTTAGAAACTAAGTCTCCTTTTAACAGTTGTAACTTACCTTAAACTGGTTAAACTGTGTAGGAAGAGATATTAAAATCAAATACACTAGTAACTCTTCAGAGAGTGTCAATTTAAGTACATTTAATTTTAAAGCAAGATGAGACATTTCCATAATGTACTCTCTGATATTGTCTTTACCACTATATTTCATTGAAACTAAGCGTGTCAAGAGCGTACTAATTTCAATCTTTTCGTTCTTGACAAACCTTTTTTCAATGTCCTGAAGGAACTCTTTAGCGGTTACTTTTGTTTTTGACATTGTTCCTCTGAATGCTTCTGGAACGGCCTTCTTAAAGATCATCAAACACAAGCGATTTGATCTCTCCCACCTTTTCTTATCCCTCTTTTCATCAGAGGTACTTTGATTTGTAAAAGTGGGGGAGAATCATCCCTTAACGCAAGGTCAAGATCCATTACTCCAAGTACTATCAAGAAATTTTCTTTCTAGGACTTGAAGTTTGTGCCATTCAACATAGGAATATTATTGATGTTAGTTAGGGGTGGCAAACGGGTCGGGTTCGGGTTGACGGGTCGGGTTGAGGTCTAAGTATAACAAAGAACCTGCTGACCCGAACCCGACCCACCAACCCAAAATGGGTCAGGGTACCTGACACGAACCCGAAAATTTCGGGTTGGCGGGTCGACCCGAAATGACCCAAAACTTAATTTTAATTTATTAATTTATCACTGTAATTTCTAATAAAATCAATTTTTCACAAAATTAATTACATCATCAAGTAATAAAAATTTAAATAAATAATTTCAAACCAAATCTAAAATAAATTAAACACCATAAAAGTGTTTTATCCCAAACTAAATATAAAATAAATTAAAACAGCATAAAAGTAAAAAATAACATAATATATTATTTGTCCAAATATAATAATTTTAACTTCACACAGGTTAAATAAATTCATTTAGGATTAAGTAATTAATGCCTTTGGAAAAAAAGAATGATTTAGTTTAGTTAGATAAAATAATTTTTATATTTATTAAATTAATTTTAATTCGTAAACGGGTTACAACGGATTGACCCGAAATTGACCTGTTTTCTTTTCGGGTTCATCGGGTTCGACCCGATTCTGACCCGAACTCCCAAAATTCCAACCCAAACCCATTAATTTCGTGTTAGGTTCGTGTCGTGTTTTCGGGTCGTGTCAGGAATTGCCACCCCTAATGTTAGTAGTAATATTCCTAAGATCATTTGCAATTAAACAGAAAATATAAAATAATTAAAACTATACTCATATAAACCAAAATAATAATAAACTTAAATAAAGGTAACTCCATCTCAAGATACCGATGTTCCATTAATATTTTGTTTTTGGACAAAAATATTAACTTCTAAATGATATTTTGGTGCAGTAATAAATACTGATAATAATAACATGTCAAAAATAAATTTTTCTTTGGATCAATTTATAAATCACATGTAAAAAATTCAAATAATTATCACGTATTTATTAGCACAAGTGCACATGTAATTTTATTAAATATTGACTTTCCTTTGAGCCAATCAATATTCATAAAATTACAAGTACCCAACTAGTTATATTTTAAAATAAATTAATTTTCATAATAGAGGTCACTTTGGTGGCATATTATTTCAATTAATTTATTCTAAAATATATATATTTATACCAATATTCAAATTTAAAATTATCCAAATTAAACAAAAATTTTGTTCAAAATCAACTTTGGTCAACTCTGATCAAAACGTGGTCAAACATGGTCAAACCAGTTAATTGGATCAAGACTTATTGGACTAAAAGTTCATATCCATAATTGAACCAATTTTATCATTTAAGTCCCAAATTTTCTTGAAATCCAACTTTATAAAAATTTATATTTAGTGGGCCTAATATATGGACTTTATAGGACTTAAATGTCTTATTAACTTTATTAGGGTTCACTTAAATTAAGAAAACCCTAATGTCCTTAACATTGTTTCTCAACCAAGAAAACGAGTCACATAATCCAATTTCAGAGTCAAAATGTGAAAGCCAAAAACGCAACTAATCAATGAGCAATCAATAATGCCCTTAAGTTCATATTATAACTTTGTATCAGGAACATGAAAGTCATATCATGACTAGTGCCGTCCAAGTTTGCAATCAAGAGATACAACGAAATTAAACAATCAAGAAAGCTCAATGCCAGAAATGCGTGCCAACTCAATTTTTTTTTGACATACTGGATTACGTACAAGCACGGCCACGTGAATGAGACCAGGACCATAGAGTCAAAGAAAGAGACTTTACTCAACCACAACTCCATTGTCAAATACTTATGGGGCCCATGATCTATAATATATATTATGCATTAAGGAACAAAAGAGTACTCTTGGTGTCTGGTCTATTAACCTTATGCTTTTACGATTTATGAAACTTGGAGCTTTGGTCAACCGAAAACAACATACAAACAATCAACTGGCGATCGAAAATTTAAACACATAATAGTCATGTATTTAATCGCATTAGAGTCCGCAGCCAGTAGTTATGAAAACAGAACCAATAGTAATAAAACTATGAATTACTAAAACAAAATTATTTCCTAATAATCAACCATATGGGCTCTGATACCACTTGTTAGGGTGGTTATCTAAATTTAACCTTAGGTGAAAACCATCACCTATTAAACCCAACATCTATATAGTGATTATTAAGAAATAAATTATTAATAAAATTGCGAAAGCGTACTTGGATTCATATTGAGAAACTGATATATGGATCTCCAAGGATATTGGGGTGGCCTTCCATGTCAACACGTATTAGCTGATTCTTGAGAGAGCCCTTCAGTATCTCTCTGGTATCTTTCCTGACGATGGGATATCAGGGAAGAACTATTTTGTGGTACTAGAAAATACGACAAATAGAATATTATGTGTGACTTGGGGACCATAACCTTATTTATAGGTAACGTTTCTGTTATTTTTTGAAACCCTATTTCAGCCCATCATAGAAATAGGAGTCCTTAAGTCTCTACACATTAAAGGCCCACATCCTATTAGATACATTAAGTCCAAACCATATTTGATCACTTTAATTGGACTTAACCTTATTTGACAGTTTGCAATCTATAATTATTCACATATAAGTCCAACGTTGAATTAAGGATCCAACAAATAAATGAAAAAATATCTCAAAATGTCTAATTTAGGCAATATTCTTGAACTAAACTTTTCTATAGTTTGTCAAAAGAAGATAAGAAAAAGAAGGCAAAGTTGTCTTTCAAAATTATACAGAAATAAATGGTTGAAGAATATTATATGAGACTCTCTATTGATTCTCAATCACCTCAGTGGTCTTGATCTCTATTATATTTTGATGGTGCTTAATTATGAGTTTGATCATAAGTCAAAACTTGGTTTGATATTGGAAGTTAATTTGGTAGAAGTTGTGTTTGTTGATGATGAAAAAAGTACTTGTGAAATTTTTTATTTATTGGTTGAAATTTTTGATTGCATACATTATTTGGAGTGATTGATGAAGAATAATTTGTGAGCAAATGCAACAATTTGGTTGTAGATGAAGATGTAAAAGAAATTATTGGTACGTATAGGGTGAATGAATCCATTGGCAATTATAGAATTGGTGATTATTGTGGTAAAAATTGTTGGCATGAATTATTGTTTGAAAATTGTGTGTATGATTATCATGGATGTGGATGCTCTAATGGTGAATGGGTGAACATGGATGAATTTTTCAATCAAGTGAGATTAGCTGCCACATTGTGTGCAAAGTACAAGCATGTTTTACTCCCACTATTGAAGATGAAGATAAGAATTGAAATGGAGTTGCACATCAGCTGTACTGCTACATAGGCTGCAATAACAATTGAAAATCGTGATGGCATTGGAGATAATAACATGAAAAGTTTAGTTTAAGGGAGGCAATGTTGACCACAAAAAAAACCAAGTTATTTAAAATTTTATTAGTTTCCTCTTGTTTGATTGTTTGGCAAATTTCGATATGATATTAAAATTTTTGCTGTGTTAATTTTTGTGTTAACAATCAATGTATATATGTGTGCATACTCTAAACATTACTAAATTTTTCTTTAGCCTGGCCAACTCCTTCGCTAAAAATTTTAATACGCGTCTACTTTACGGCTTCAAGTGTTAACCAAAATCTAGTAGGCAAGCTAAAAGTCTATTTTTTTATTACATTTTTGGTGACAAGAACTGACTTACTTCTCAACTAATGACTCCTACTATTTGCTAAAGGACTGAATCATTTTTAATGAACCATTTTACAACCTTGACTAATTGTTTCCAAATATGTCATAAAAAGGAAACCATTTTATTCAATTTTTGCAAATGAAAACAGATGTGATAGGAGAGTGGAGTCGGAACTGTCATTTCATCGACCAGAAAGGCAATCTTATCCCTTTTGGCTTTTAGTTTCACTTCTCAGCGTACAAGAACGGAGAAGACTTTTGCGCCTTGATCATTGAATTGTTGGTGGGACATGACTAGCACGAACGGTGGCAAGCAAGGAAGAGAGAATCAATGAAACATTGAAATTTTATGCATTGTCCACCTCTTATTTCTTCTTTTCCAACAATTCTCAAAGTCAAAGAATTCAATTACAATCATAAAGACAGTGAGTCCCATTTCATTGATTCAAAGGACTGTGATGCCAAAGATGCAAGTCTTGTTGCTTCTTCAAATCAAAGGGAAAAAGAGTTTTTTCTTTTCTTTTTATTTTTTAACTCTCCCATCCCTCTCTATACACTTTCCTCCCTCAACTATTAAACACATGATTTGAATCCTAAGCCTGACAGTGAAACAAGGTTCTAAGAGTTCTTCTCTCACCATTTGGCCAATTCGAATAGTTCACAAAATAGAATTCCAGGCAAAGTCAAAAGCTTTAAAACATGGTAACATGGAAAACCTCTACCACATCTGATGTTAACTTTGCTTGAGGAAGGAAGGTAGTGGCGTGGGCTTTAAACAAATAAAAGCTTTCAATTAAGCATTATTTGCTAAGCAAGCATGAAGAATTGCCAGTCAAGCTCATTCCATACTTAAAGTTTCTAAAGCTAGATGTTTCACGAACTATGACTTCTTTCGAGTTGAGCTTGGCTACTTGTCGTTGGTATACTTGGAGGAGCATTAGTACAGCAAATTTCTCATAGAAAGGAGTGGATGGCGAATTGGTAATGGTCTGCCAATCAAGAATTGGAGTGATCGTTGGCTCCCACAACTGTTTAGTAAAATTTACTACATCAGTAACAAATCTTACTTACAAGCGAAACATACGATTTTTTATACAGAACTTACTATTTTTTCATGTAAAA